TTTTACAGAACAGCACACTGAGCATGCTGATTCTAGACAAATTCAATTCTGTGTAATTTACAGCCTATTACAACAGCTTTCAGGATTCCCTTATATTAATTTTTACATGGTCTGCACTGATAACAGCCTGGCTTCCTTTCCTAATGCCTTTGGAGGTTTATAGTTCTTGATTTGCAGATGTTTGCATTTTAATAGGAAGAGTAAAAGGAATGGAAGTAATCATGTTTTGAGTTTCTAATCTGGCCCCTCTCTGCCCCCTGAGTAAGCACTGGCTGTGAATTGAATTTGATGTGGAACTGCACAAGATATGGCTTTTTTCTCCACACCCTTAGGGAATAACTCCTGAAAGCCATTCCAACTTCTGGCCCCTCACATCCCTGACTATTGTGATGTCATCAAGTTTGCACTGAGGGCATGCTGTTTCTTCTGGTCAGCAAGGGGCACAAAGTCATCCAGTGAGCTTCATAGCTCCTGTTCCTGGACTGACCTCCCCCTCCTGTGTCACACCTGGCTAGCAAAAGAAAACACCAGTTGAATGGTCAAAGTGCTATAAAATGGCAAATCCTCACACATTTGTCAAGAAATAATTATCTCTTTCTTGGTATGCCAATGAGATGCAAAATAAAATGTATACACACTAAGGAAATCTCAGCTGACACAATGGTTCCATTACATGAAAACAAGAACATTGTTCCCTGTTGGTTGGAGATGTCGGAAGTCAGAAGTAGCAAACTTCTTGCACATGACAATTGCTCAATGCAAGATTTACGGACACTGTTTGTTAGACTATTTGGATCTTGAATCATCACAGCTATAGAAAGTAATGTCGATCATGTATAACAATAACGTTGTCTTTTTCCAATATGGCCAAAATATGTTAAGAAAATGTAAATTTGTTTTTCAAATGACAGAGCCATTCATAGGAATTTCTCAGGGATTTTTGAAATACATGGCATTTACAGTAGCATTCATCTTTCATAAACTTTTCCTTAATAATTATCACACACTTTGTGATCCATATCCAAAGGCTCTGAAATCTAATAAACTATGACACTGCATAATTAGCTGTCTTAGGCAGGAGAATCCAGGACATTTGTAGGTTTTCCCATTCATCTGCCTCATCAGCCCAGCTTAGCAGCACAACAGGTACAATCAAGCAGTGTCACTTGGAGTATCTAGATTCTTGAAAAGGCAGAAATGCTACTGTACTACTCCAACAGAGTTTTTGTACACTCCTCTGAGCAAGAAATATGTACCAGTATGACAGACTTAACATCCCACAGCAGTGAGATGCAGTGCCAGTGCTATAAACCCCTGAAACACTTTGGCTAGCAGTGTGGTTTATTAATGAGAATAACAACTCATGGACTCATTCTTCATATCAGACCTCACTGAAAAAGATCGCACTAGGAAGGTATGACCACAGATAGTGGGACTTGGCAACAGGAAGTGCATATTACATATTTTCTTTACAGTTACAATTGCCACTAGTCCAGAATATGGGCCTGAACCTGCACAAGTCTCCTTTACAACACTGTATGCTGTACTGTAAAAGGAACTGGCATTTAAAATATAAGCAGTAGCTGCTCAATATTAAAGGACCCAGAACACTGTAAGCCACAGCTGCTAAATATTAAAGGGCACAGCAGATGTAAAACCATTGTGTTTATAGAAGAGCTTAACTTTGCCCACAGCAGAAGACATTTCATTACTTTGTGCTCCAAAATGGAAATACGTAACTAATGATAAATATACCGTGCTGTGAATTAGACAGGACAAGTTAGCCACTTGAAACAAATTAACCTTTTTTTGGTTTTCTCAGTGTACCAAAAATGGAACCTATAATACTTAGCATGACATTTTGCTAGTTCCCTACAAGCTGTGCACTATTTAAGGACCAGGAGGATTGACATTTCACTTGTATATGGCTGGAATGACAAACAAACTTGAACTTACTATTAAAGAGAAAATAATAATTTCACGCTTTTCAGCTTTTTTTTGATGATCCTTAAAATCACTCATTTGGGATCAATGTGTTAATGTCTGTTACAGATTTAACTAAAACGCTACCAGGATAAACAAAAAGGTGTGCTTAGTCTATGATAAGATCTGTTCTTGAGCTTGTCACACTGCTTTCAGATATGAGGTTTTTTTAATTTAGCGTTTCAGTCATGTACAGTATGAATGTAATCCCTAGTCCCTTGTGAGTGGAGACTCCGATTGCAAGTCACCTGGCATTCGTGAGGTATTCACATGTACACAGACACATACGCAAACATTTCACTATCCAAGGGGCAATAACTGTGGTTTCAAACGTAAACAAACCGAAGTTAGTCTGTAATTCCGGGGATTGCCTTGCTTGCTTGCTGGCCGGCTGGCTGGCTGGCTCTCACACACTCACACACGTACGTTGCTCATGTATGGTGAAAGTATGGTGAAAGTTAAACATTCACTACAGGGGCCTCAATTTGTGCATCAATTTGTAAGAAGATACCATTAAGAGAGGGTTGTATTTTCCTAAAAATATTTATGTACGTAAAAAGTGTAATGGCACTTTATTTTTGTTAAAAAAGTGTTAGTTGCTTGGAGAAAGGTGTAAATCAGAATTCTGATTATTATTTTGTAGAATTATTTTTTTGCTTTATAGTGGAATATTCTAGGGGGAGGAGTTTAACGTAGGAAAGGGAGATGTTAGAAGAGAGATAGAAGGAAGTTGATAATAATAATAATAATAATAATAGCTTACACTAATATAACGCTTTTCTGGACACTCCACTCAAAGTGCTTTACAGGTAATGGGGATACCCTCCACCACCAGTGTGCAGCCCCACCTGGATGATGTAGTACAGAATAGGAGCTGCCTATACCAATCTATTTTTTTAAATCAATGTATATATTATTATACTATAGTTTTGTGTTTTTCCCTTGGTTAGTTTGTATTTTTCACTGTTTTTTTTTTGGGGTGTGGACTTTCATAATAAATACCCCTGCACTACCCTGCAATTGTGGGTGTGCCATCATTATTGCTGCATTCCATCTATGCCTCTAAACGTTTCAAGGATGTGACTGTGATACCCCTGTTTGATTAGATATGATTACTGCCTTTTATTGTTTTTTTTTCATTTGATGCCTTAGTCTAGTGGGTATGTAAATAAACAAGATAAGCAACGGTTTTAAATTAGGTCTCAAATTCACGATGAGAATACAGGCCTTTGCATGCCCTGCTCTGCAATTTGAAACCAGTAGTGTTAGTAGCTTAGCCACAATGAAAGAAAACAGGCCAGACTTGGAACAAAAAGCTCTTCCAAACTTATGGAGAGGGAACAGATGCAACTGTCGCAGTAGGTTGCACACAACTTCAGAAACCAGATATTGTGCCACAGATGAGACTGCGGATGTGCTTTATGAACATCACAGCAAAGACAGCATAGGGCTACAGTGTTTGGTATTTTCAACAGCATCTTTCCTTGGGTTCATGCTGGGTAGTTTTCACACTTATTTGCTGTCATTAAGATTTTTTGGCGCCATCAAGAGATCGCACAGTACGAAATTTACAATGGAAATTCTCTTCTGACTTGACAGTCCTGTCAAGATATCCCATGAAAAAATTCAGAGTAGTACGATAGAAATAGTAGCAAGTGGCAACACCTGGATGCCTTTAGGGCATAAGAGGAAGTGATAAGTGAATCACCTTAGCCTAATAACTGATTAGGTTAGTCACCCTCAAATGTGCAGTTAAATTCATTTAGCTCAGTAAAATAGGTTAGATCCAAAGCACTTGGTAAATGTAAATTTGCATGCACATCAAGCCAATGAATTACTGAATCTTTGCATGATTAATACGGACTCATATGGATCTAGAAAGTATTTAACAAGATGCATTTCAGATTAACCATTGCAGGCAACAGAACTGAGCTAATCTTATCTTTTTCAAACAAGTAACACATGTCTTTATAATAATAATAATTGCTTACACTTATATAGCGCTTTTATGGACATTCCACTTAAAGCGCTTTACAGGTAATGGGGACTCCCCTCCACCACCACCAATGTGCAGCGCCACCTGGATGATGTAACGGCAGCCATAGTGCACCAGAACACTCCCCACACATCAGCTATTAGTGGGGAGGAGAGCCGAGTAATGTAGCCAGTTCATAGATGGGGATTATTAGGAGGCCATGATTGGAAGGGCCAATGGGAAATTTGGCCAGGACGCCAGGGTTACATCCCTACTCTTTTCGAGAGACACCCTGGGATTTTTAATGACCTCAGAGAGTCAGGACCTCGGTTTTACATTTCATCTGAAGGACAGCACCTGATTACAGTATAGTGTCCCCATCACTATACTGGGGCATTAGGACTCACACAGACCGCAGGGTGAGCGCCCTGTGATCAGGGTGATATGGCTGCTGACAAATCAAACAGAAATGTAACCAAATGCTTCCACACGTCCATCTATTAGGAATACTGCTGCTTCAGCATAATCTGTCTGCCCAGATTCTTTGTTGAATTAGACAGTATTTGAGGATACTGAATCATCTAGGCCAGCTATCGATAGCAGTGCTTTGGAATCATTCCAGAGAAGAGCAACCAGATACATTCCCAGGCGTAAAGGCAAGGAAGTGACCTGATTCAATGATTCAAAATACTTAAAGTCAGTGACAAAGTCACCCCAGTCAAACACTAACCAGGGAGGGAATACAAGTGGAAACCACAGGGACATACGGTACAGTAAAACTGAGTGCAGGTGGAACTTTTTGCACAAAGCGTGGTGAGGGTATAGAACACATGATCTATGCCATGTTGAAATAAAAAGCCATAGAAAGTATTTTTTAATGTGCTGTCAAAACTGATTCCCTGGCTTCTGTCAAAAAACAAAGCTGGCTGAATGAGGTCTTTGAATCAATGAGCTTCAAGCGACCAAACAAGCCAGGTGAGCTGAATGGACTCATTTATGTCGTCGCTTCAATCAGTAAGCAAGCTGTTTTGTGTTTCCTCAGGCATTTCGGGCGGAGGTGGCACCCATCAAAGAGAATGTCACACAGGTGAATGACTTGGCCTCGCTCTTCGGTCCCCCAGACGTCCAGCTTTCTCAATTCAACCTCAGCAGAGTGGAAGATCTCAACACTCGCTGGGAGCTCCTACAGGTGAGTCACTGCTGCTGAAGCTTTGCTTCCTCTCTGCTTTGCCAGTGTGCGCAAGTCATCACCTGTTGACTTCCTACTTAAAAGGGTTCAGAACTGCAAAGTGTCTTGGTGGCCATACTGTAAGACTGCCATAGTGTAAATGTGGTGAGGGGAAGTGGATTTTAGAATAGCAGGCAGGGACTGCCACAAGTGTGAGGAATTAACCAAATACAGTACAGTACGTCAGATGGTTTTCTTTAATGAAAAAATGATGATAAAAACACATATTGCCAATATACAGTAGTGGCAGTTTATTCACACGCCTTTTTATCCTGTGTTGCTTTGAAGATTATCTGTAATTTTAATAGTTAAATATGTGTGTATCAAAAAAAACTTTCTGTTCTCGGATTTTTGGATTCCTTCGTTGGTTAAATTAGATGTGACTAATTAGTTTTCTGCTGCTTTTCAGAGACGAACAAGCACTTCCCACTGATTGTCTTCTTTTTACTCTATAATTGCTGATTAAAAAACATGTTTATTTAAACATTTATGTCATTTATTTTTCCATGCAATTTCCATATAAAGAATATTTTTATTATAAATAACTGTTCTCATTTTTGTTGGGAATCAGGGAGTCGTGTAAATGACTTGTAGAGATTTAAAGAAAACTTCCTGCTTTAACATAAGCAATTAAAATTCTCACGTCCATTGCATTTTCCCTTCAAAGTTTGGTTTTATCCTTTTTTATTGTTTTACAGTGATGTAAAAGGAACAAGTAAACATTAATTTCATGCTAAAAAAGTAGAAAGAAAAACAACATCCGTTTCAGCTGGTGAGCCTTCTTCAGTTGTGGAGTGATGCATTTCTACAAGGGTATTGTCTGATAACAAATTTGTGCTTTAATCCTACCCAGTAGTTTCAGTGAAGTGATATGAGACACCAAACTGTGTTATGAAAGAGAGCCTGTTGGTGCCATGATTGGTGCTATGCAAATAGAATTAGAAGCCAGTCTTTTGAAGGTGTTCAAATACTTTATTCATCCCCAAAAGTGCAATTTAAGCAGCATGTGGAGAAACATACTGTACAACACATTCCAAATAAAACTGCTAATGAACATGGGTGTCAACTTGTCTAAGAAAAAATTAAGATAAACAAAAACAGCAAAAGCTCCGTAAAATGATTATGAATGTAACAAAGTGGTTTTCCACAGAGGGGGTGCCACATCCCTTCACACATCAGACTGTCTTAGTCTGTTTCCCGGGACGTCAGAGGTTAGAATGGATATTTTTCCTTCTGTATGGGGCACCAGTCAAAGCAGAATGCTTTCTACACCTACTTTCAGATTTTTTCTTCTCTCTTCCTTTTCCTAAACTAATGACCTTTTACCAATTTGATTTTGGCACCGGGACTGACCCTGAAAGGATCGGAGCATTTAAGGACAATAAGTTACAGTAATCTCTTATGCACAGAGCATGCCTAAATGTTTCTGAGATTTGTTTGTATTTTAAAAACATAAAATATATATAAGTATTTGATCATAACAACATCACAAGTTCATTGTACTGTAGGGTTTTTCTTTACTGAAATAATTCAGACTGTTATGTGTATTAATAGTTAGTATCCTAACACTCAACCGCACTTATGCTGAGTTATGTGAACTTCTCTTTCTAAGGAGCTGGTTTACTCCAGTAATGACCTGCTTCCGTACAGTTCAGAGTGGGAATCTAACATTTTCTTTGGCAATTTTCCCTGTGTTTTGGATTCCAGTGATGACAAATTCTGAATTGTAGGATAAGAAAAGGCAGAGATGGATATCAGGAACATTAAGTGTCAGCAAAAAGAGGAGAAGCTGAAAAATCAACCTAATAACCTAAGATCATATCTTGTGAAAGAGCTAAAGAAATCATGAGCAAATATTTTTCGAGCCATAAAGCAATACGCCATTCTCCCAAGATGAAAAAAATTGTTTTGATGATCTCAAAGGTTTCATCCTTCTGTAAGCAGCCGCACTTGAATTAAAATATTTTATATTCTATATCTTTATACTGTATATATTTGTGTCTGGGTTACTATACTTTTTACACATTTTTTGCACATCAGTAACATGACATTCTTCTAGTCTCAGAGTACTGTCATGTTATCGCAATGCCAAAATATATGTCATTCTTCACTACACCTTATTTCTGTTTTCACAGACTTGGAGTTACATATTATCCACATAGTATAAAAGATTCATAATGGTATAAACACAGGATATCATTTCACTAGTGCAGATGACAGTATTCACATTCTGGAGCATGATGTCGTAGTAAACACTTCATCTTAAGTGAAAAAGGTTAAAAAGAAGCACAAATGCAGGGCCATTGTTAAATTGTCAAAATTGTAAATTCAAAGAAGCAAACTTTTTATTTTCAAACATTTGCATGGAAAAACCTTCATGGAATAGATACAGTAGGTTTTTTTAAAGTAAAAAATATATAAATAATAGATATATGGCTGACACCAATAATTACTGCCAACTATCTGGACTGTGGTGTCTCACCTGTACCTGTACTGGGAAGAAGACAGTGTCATAGGAAGAGGGGTAGGCGTTCTGAGCTCGCTGAAAAGACATTTCATTGTTAGCAACTACTGCTCCATGCTGTATTGTTGTGAATTGGATAAATAAACTTTGATTTGATTTGATTTTTGATTTTTTGGTCAGCTGCTTTAGAAACACTGCAGGTTTCATTTTAGGTTACAAATGATTTACGGTGTTACAATGAAGATATTAACATGAACTTTGTCAATAGATGGTGAAAATGAATCTGTTCCTCGGTGCTCTGTTGAATTCATTTTGCTGCTTATGGAGGAAGCCCACTGCTTTATTGGATATACTGTAGTGTATGTGGCACACTGTAGTGTACAGTATGTAGTGTACATACTGTAGTTTTATATTTTTGAAAATTCAATGAAAGAAGAGATTGTTTTGAAGCTCAGCTACCTTGTGAAAATAAGTTTCTCTCATTGAATTACAGGTCATCCTATATACAGTACATTAAAAACAATCTTGGCCCCAAAGTATGGAAATCGAACAATTTGTTGCTTGATTTTTAATAACCAGGTAAAATATAACAATATGAGCCTTTTCATTGAATTATGTTTATGATGTTTATTTTTTAAAACTGACTCATTTACTCAAATAACTACTTTAAGGAATGACCTTGGTTGAAGCAGACTTCAAATAAGATTAGAGCAGATACAGTATGTTACAAGATATCATAAGCCTTGGGTACTATTTAAAAATGGCTCAGACACTGTAGATAATTATACAGACGTTTAAAGTCCATCAACGATCTTGTTACCTAATGCTCACTTTCTGAGGATCAAGCAGCACAAGGGTGTTACCTTATATTTATACCATTTGAGACTTTCACTTGTGTAATTCTACCTAGGTAATTACACATTGAAGCTGCTGCTTTAATCAATTTAAATGTAAAAATATCAAAGGGTGACATAAAAATTAACATAATCAGGATCTCAAGAACTGCAATCAACATCATAACATTATTCTCACACATTACCATTATTTTGCAATGGGCTAAGATGCCAATACCTTAGTGCATAATTTGTCATGTGATTTACTCCACTGAAAATTACTTCTTAGGGCAAAAGGACATTTCAATGTGTCATTTAAATTGTGCCCATGTTGGTATGCATGCTTTACTTTATAGAAAACGCTCGTGTACAATATTGACTTTGATGGCAATCCTCCATGTGCCAGTACAAACTGATCTAACTGTTTCATGTGCAGAAAAATACGGGACTGGAAATATCTTATGCAAAGATGGGTTTCTTTAATCGCTCTGGAGATCTTAGGGTTTTGCATTTTGTGTTTTTATGAATTGTTGGTCTATTTATTATTGTCACTGCATCTGCTAAGTTTCTGTACTGTAGATAGTTTGCTTGTTTCTTGGCAGCTAGTACCCAAGATCCAGGTATAGGGGTATAGAAATGAATGGGTCATGCAGGTACTATCAGTTTTCATCTCTGGAGTTAAACTCCTGCAGAAACTGGCATCTGACAGAAAAGAGTGAACTAGTTCTGAACTAGTTGGAACACAGGATACATTTTACTAACTTTATTCTTTATTATTCATTTGTTCTCAAGACATGTAGAAAAATATTGTGAAATGTTATTATGCATTGCTAACATATGAATCAGCTGGTTACAGTTGCAGTTCATCAACATGCATTAATTGCCGGGGGCTATGATCCTCAAAGTAAATGCCACAGACACGTGCAGAGGCCAGCACAATTTCATTGGAATGCCGGGCTGACTGCAGGTGTTGTAGTTGTGTTAAGCCTGAGACTTTTAAAATCCAATGATATATAGTACCTTTCTGAAATAATCATAATTTCCCTCATTTTATAGCACAATAATTGAATCATTTGTAGAACCTAACAGATCAGTGGGCCTTTGGTACTGGAGATCGAAGACTCCTTAAGGAAGACAAGTAAATGGTGCTCTTTACTCCAGAGCACAACTTTCCTAAGCAAAGCCCCAGAGTGGTGACCAGAGACACACTCTGTGGGAGATAAGCAACAAAGGAACAAGTAATAGGTTTATTCCATGCTGAAAAGAGAAGAAAGGAAAAACAACGTTTCGGCCTTGGAGGCTTCTTCTAGTATGAGAAGGCTCCACAGACGAAAAGTTGTTTCTTTTCTTCTCTTTTCAGCATGGAATAAACCTAATACCTGTTTCTTTGTGGCCTACGCATGCTGATGCAGCTCCCCACCTGAACTCTGTTTCAGGTGGGGGAAATTTGGCCAGAACACTGGGATGACATACCTACTCTTTTTAAGAAACGTCCTGGGATTTTTCATGATCACAGAGAGTCAGGACCTTGGTTTTTGGATGCTGCCTTTTTATAGTATAGTGTCCCCATCACTATACTGGGGCATTAAGACCCACATGGACCGCACGGTGAGCGCCCCCTACTGGCCCCACTAACACCTCTTCCAGCAGCAACTTTAGTTTTT